ATAAAACAAATTATGTATTATATAAATAAAAAATACCTTAAGTACAATGTTGTAATAGGAGGCGATTTAAATATAAATATTTTAGATAATAATTTAAAAACTAACCTTTACTTAGATTTCATGCTAGAACACAAATTCATACAACATATAAAATCACCCACACGAATTTCTACAACAACTTCAACATGTCTTGATTTAATATTTACCAATTTTAATAAAAAAAAATAACTACGCTACCATTGAAGAACTAGGTTTTTCTGACCACAGTGCAACAATCTTACACATGCTAATAAAGACCACTAATAACAGTAAACAGATAATCTGGTATGTTAAAAAAAGGCTATTTAGCGAAGACAACATGAATAAATTTAAATCTGAAATGAGTAAACAAAATTGGCAGGACATAATAAAAACTGATAAAACCATCGACGAAAATTATACTGACTTCAAAAACATACTACTAAAATACTTAAACCAATGTATACCTTTACAAAAAGTAAAATTAAAATCAAAACTCAAAAAACATTGGCTCACAAAAGGCATCAAACTAGCATGTAAAAACAAAAGACTACTTAAGATTCTCACAATGAAAACTAATGAACCCACTCTAACAAAATACTATAAACAGTACGAAAAAACACTAAAAAAAACGGTAACAACATCTAAAAAATTACAAAATATTAACAAATTAAACAGATCTACAAACAAAACTAAAACCATGTGGGGAATAATAAACGAAAAAACAAACAAAACAATAAAAAGACAAAAAAATAATTTGAAACTTAACATAGACAATAACATAATTACTGAACCAAAGCATATAGCAAACATTTTTAACAACTACTTTGCATCTATAGGTGAAAATAGCAACTCTTCTGGAACTGAACCAATGGGAGCTCCGGTAGTTTGCCCTACAGAAAATACTATGTTTCTCAGCCCAGTAGACGGATACGAAGTTAACCGAATTATTAAAAACCTACAAAACAAAAGAAGCCATGGTATTGACGAACTACCCCCATTATTAATTAAACATTGTGCCGACGAACTTACAATACCCTTTTATCTTTTAATCAACCAATCATTTGATGAAGGAATATTTCCTAAAGAATTAAAAATAGCTTTAATAAAACCTATCCATAAAAAGAATGAAAAAACAGACCCCAGCAACTACCGCCCTATAGCGCTACTACCTACGGCTTCAAAAATTTTTGAGAAGGCTATGTGCAATCGTGTATACTCCTTCTGTGAAAAATATAAAATATTAGACGATTGCCAAAACGGTTTCCGGAAAAATAGATCCACAACCTTAGCTGTTTACAAATACGTACAAGAAGCCCTAAATATGATAAATAATAGAGATTATGCAATAGGAATATTACTCGACATGACTAAAGCCTACGATAAGGTGCAGTTCAAAATACTTTTAAATAAATTACACGGGATCGGGATACGGGGAAACGCCTTAAAATGGTTCGAGTCTTACTTAAAAGATAGAGAACAAATTATAGAAATAGAATACTTTAATAAAAACAATAACGAAATACAACAAATCAGATCAAACCTAAAAGCAGTAAATGCATCTATCCCACAAGGGAGCGTCATAGGGTGCCTTCTATTTCTCATCTACATTAACGACCTTCCCAAAACAATTAACGGACCATGTGTGTTGTTTGCAGATGATGTCTCCATACTCACCTCATGCCAAAAAAATGACAATATAAACGAAAAACTAAATTCTCTTCTTACTTCAACATTCAACTGGATGGAAAACCATAACTTAGAAATAAACTTTTCAAAAACTAAATTAATTACCTTCCACCCCCATCAAAAAGCCCCGATAAAATTAAACTACTCCTACAATAACACAAAACTAGAACAAGTTAACGAATTCACACTCCTTGGTTTAGTAATAGATACACATGTAACTTGGAAAGCACATATACAAAAAATTCGATCAAAACTTTCAAAATTCTCATACGCCTTACGCGAAATTAAAAAAACCACCAACCTACATACAGCACTTGTCACATACTATGCCTACGCCCAAGCATGGCTTAGTTATGGCATCATATTATGGGGAAATAGTACCGATTCGCACACCATTTTTACCTTGCAAAAGAAACTCATCCGAATAATAACCAATATTGAACAAACAGACAGCTGCAAACCACATTTCCAAAAATACAAAATTCTCACACTTACCTGTTTATACTTAGTCGGGTCATAAGTTCTGTCAAAACCTTATATTTTTAATTTTCGATTACTGGCCAGAAATTCTTCGACTTATTTTAAAAATAGAACTTTCGCGCTTGTAGAAAATAAAAAAGAAATTATTTTTTATTCATTTTTAAATATGGAGTGGTCGAATAAAGAAGACAGAATCGCGGTTATCGCGTTGCACCGCTGTGGTTACGCGCCAAAAGACATTTTCAATATTCTTCAAAATTTGAAAATAACGTTACGGTTTGTTTATCGTACTATCAAACGATACACCGAAGAGTCAAGCTTCGAAGATCGTAAGAGAAGCGGCCGACCTCGCACAGTTCGGACACATAAGGTCATCAAAGCAGTGAAGGCGCGAATCGAACGAAATCCCGTACGTAAACAAAAAATCCTAGCTCTGCAGATGGGGCTAAGCAGAACCACTGTTAAAAGAGTACTAAATGAAGACCTGGGACTACGAGCTTATCGTAAAAAGACAGGACATTTTTTGAACGAGCGTTTAAAAAAAATTAGGCTAGACAGATCCCGCGCTTTGCTACGACGGTACGCGGGAAAAAAATACCGCGAAATTCTTTTTTCGGATGAAAAAATTTTTACTATTGAAGAAAGTTTTAACAAACAAAATGATAAGGTGTATGCCCACAGCAGTGAAGAAGCAAGCGCGCGTATTGCGAGGGTCCAGCGTGGGCATTACCCTTCCTCATTCATGGTTTGGCTTGGAGTCTCATATTCAGGCGTAACTGAGGTGTTTTTCTGTGAAAAAGGTGTGAGAACTAGTGCCGAAGTTTATCAAAATACTGTCCTAACAAACATAGTGGAACCTCTTTCTCAGACAATGTTCAGGAACAGGCATTGGATATTCCAACAGGACTCTGCACCGGCTCATAAGGCACGAAGTACGCAAGACTGGTTGATCGCTCGTGGAATTGACTTCATCCGGCATGAAGACTGGCCCTCTTCTAGTCCAGATTTAAACCCACTGGACTACAAGATATGGCAATATTTGGAGGAAAAAGTCTGTGCTAAACCTCACCCGAATTTGGAGTCTCTCCGAGCATCTCTGGTTAAAGCAGCGGCAGACATAGATATGAATGTGGTGCGTGCAGCGATCGATGACTGGCCGCGTAGATTAAGGGCATGTGTTCAAAATGGGGGAGGGCATTTCGAATAATGTAAATAAAATTATATTGTACATTTAATGACCTTTCATTTCATATATAATTTTTAAATAATTGTCAAAAGGCGTATAAGTTATTACATCAAAAGTTTGTGACAGAACTTATGACCCGACTAAGTATATCCTAGAAATATGCAAATTCGTCAGAAATCACCCTGAATTCTATACTACCCGACAAGATACTCAAAGTAAATATAGCCTACGACACAAGAATAGATTAAATCTACCTACATCCCACCTTAAAATACATTCTTCCGGTCCGCTAATAATGTCAATAAAAATATATAACAACTTACCTAAAACGATCAAAGATGAAACGAAAACATCTACGTTTATAAATAAATTAAAGAACTTTTTACACTCTAAATGTTATTATACAATAAAAGAATACATGGATGATAAGTTAATAAAAAAATAATGAACACTAATACAAACTAAAATATATAAAAAAAAATAAACGAATAAAAAAATAAAAAAAAAAGCCTTTACACACACACACACACACACACACACACACACACACACACACACACACAAACACACACACACACACAAACACACAAACACACACAAACACACACACACACACACACACACACACACACACACACACACACACACACACACACACACCCAAATACACACACGCACACATACACTAAGATAAGTATTAATAAGTTTAATAAGTAAGATAAGAATACAACATGTGTTTTAGTAATAAGCATATATATAATACAAAACTAGACAATATGTACTGTATAACAAACCTCTCCAAACTCTTTATGCTGTGCCCTAACGGGTCCATATTGTTTCTAATATATTGTGTCAACTTTATAAAATATCACCTGTATAACATATGGAATGCAAATAAAGAATTGAATTGAATTGAATTGTATCACTCCGGTTGAGCCGATCCATTTTGTACCAAAGATGGCATTTTTATAACTTAGAGAAGCCCTAAAACATAAAGTTCTTTTTAAAATGATATATTTGACACTTTCTAAAAATTTCACAGTTGCTATACGACTCCAATCTATAAACAAAATAAAATTAAAAAAATATATCTTTGTGCATTCAAAATTATTTTAGGACCAGATATTTTTAACACTCTTATTTGACAAACAAAACTTTCATCTCCAATGTTAAATTATTGTTTAACCTATTAAAACCTTCTTTTGGTATTTTGAGATATCGTGGATTCTCTTAAACATATCTATATAATTTCTAAATAATAAAGTTAGAACAGGCCCCCGTAGTCATGTACAGGTCGGCTAATAGTGACGCTGCAAATATTAGTCACCGTATAGTCACGTATATCATTATCTTCATTGAACTCAAGTTAGTGACAAAACGTCGTGGCGATAAAATCAGCATCAAGCCTAAGAAAACCTCTTGTGTATCGAGTCCCTACAAAACGCCCTAGTTTTATACATTTGACAGCACACGACACATAATTTTGCGTGTAACCATAGTTAATGTATGAACAGGCTTCTGTACTCTGTCTCACAGTAGTTAATATTCTTATTCTAGACGACACAGTAATAGACTTCTTAAATATAATACATCCATTTGATCAACCCGCAATTTTTCTTTCTTTCAGATCTGGATAGCACAGAGCAAAAGGTGTCTATAATGCTGAATGGCGAAGAATCTGAACTGTACTTCGTTAACTGCACCACAACAAAGGTAAATTAAGCCTTATTAGGGAATTCCTTATTCAAGCTGTTAGTTCAAGAGCCTTCACTCTTTGGTTATTACGAAAACAAACTTGCTCCAAAATGTTAATGTTAGAACCGCGATCCGCACAGATCGCGAATTACCATCACAAATAAACAGTTACAAAAATATGACTTAAACAGAAATTCAGTCATTCAACCAAGTGAATGGCTATTTAAGCTAGTTAACTGCCACATATGAACCACATGTGATATGATATGATACAAAAATTCTCACAACCCTCAACCTTGGGAACACGATTTGTTTAAGTCATTATACTATTGTGTTTGTCCAGGAGGAAATCGAACGCTCGGAGCCACCTGATGCCTTCGTGGTCATCTACTCAGTGGTGGACAAAGCTTCCTTCCAGAAAGCTGAACAGGAACTTGCCAGGCTCCTAGACTGTGACATGCTTCGAGCACGACCAGCCATTTTAGTGGCTAACAAGATCGACTTGGCTAGAAGTCGAGCCGTTTCTACACAAGGTGAGAGATTTTGACATCAGTTCTTCCCCTAATCCATTCTTCAACCCACCTCCAATCATCAAATTCCTAACAAGCGATGACGTTAGATTACCAGCAGGCCCCGAGCGTACGGCGCCTGGCGTTCCGCGCGCGCCTCAAAGAACCAATAGACCACCACAGACGGGGCCCTATAGGGCTGATGTTCAGCCGGCGTTGCGGGGTAAGCGCAATGACGCAACCTGACCTAGTACCTAGTCAGTCAGTAAGAGTCTGACACTCGCACCCACCCTTCCCTGGGCGAAGAAGAAAAAATAAGATTACCAGCAGGTGATTCAGCTACTACTACGGCTGACGAAGTGTGTGATGTGATCCAGCTTCTCGTTTGCTGAAATACATAGGTATATGTTGTATATAAAAAAATCTGTTGCATGGACTACCAAAAACTGGGATCAATTAACTTTGGATTAAGATCTGTTATTAATTTTGGCTGTTTAAATACCAAGTTCAATGCTCACGTATATATTTTTTTATATCGGACAGTATCCACGTAATTATTTTCCGTAGTCACTGATTTCCCTTGAGACGGAGAGCTTCGTCTCATGATAGCTTTATCCAAATAATCTTATTATTTATACATTTCGGTACATCACTGATTATATTTATTAGTGGGTCATTTACTTAGAAGCATCACTAAGTCAGCTTCAGTATCTCTAAGTCGGCCAAAGTATTATTAGCAATATTATGTGTATGTTCTACCATTACTTACTTGGCAAAGTAAAGTAAGGCGTTCTCCAGCCAGGTGGATTGACGATATCCCCAGGGTAGCTGGCAGTGGATGGATGAGAAGAACTGAACATCGAGCTCAGTGGGAGGTCCACGGAACCAGGCTGATGATGATGACTTGGCAACTGAACTTTCCCCTACTGCGCAGTCTCTTTGCGCCTTAAGGCCGCAGTGTTTCTGTCTCCCAAATTTTAATTCGTCGAGGGAATACAATTATTATAGGGATTGGGCCTCCTGTAACTTTACTCACACGGCGAAACACATCGCTGTGGTTGTTTCACGCCGGTTTTCTGTGAGACCGTGGTATCACTCCGGTCGAGCCGACCCATTCGCACCGAAGCTTGGCTCTCCCACACTTACGTAACACTATATGATAGTGCTATTTTGTAGTCATTCATTCAACGCTTTTGGCAGATAGCCAGAAACAAATAGAAAACCAATAAGTTACAAAAAAATATTAACCTACTTCCTATACAATAAAATTGTAATAAAATACCGCGCAACTAACAAGCCATTTTCTTCAACAGACGGCAAATGCATGGCGTGCACCTACAAAGCGAAGTTCATAGAAGTCTCAGTCGGGATCAACCACAACGTAGACGAGCTTCTCGTCGGTATCCTCAACCAGATCCGGCTAAAAAAGCAGCAGTACACGGCTGAAGGTGGCAGGGAATCCTCGCCCGCTCATTGGTACAAATCCCGAGGAGTTGTTCGAGCCAGTATGAAAGCCAGGCAAATGTTCACCTGGATTTTCGGTAAGGAAGATTCCAAATTCAAGAACTGTGAAAATCTTCATGTCCTGTGAGTGGAAAATGACGGACCAGTGTTCGTCTAAAGACATTGGGACTTCTGGTTACTTTTGGAAGTGATAGTGAGTGATTAAGGTTAGATATTGTTTGTTTGTACTTAAATGTTAAAATTGCACGGCGAGTTATGGCGACTGATGCAAATATTTGATAACCCGTTCTCTAAAGCGTGATAAATAATCATTAATATTATACAAAGAAATTGAAAAAGCTACCTACCTCAATTTAAATCTCAAAGATTTCTATCAATGTAGGTTTTTGACTCCCATAAAGCTTAATTTGAACTCTATACAACTGGTGTCAAAACTCAATATTAATAAAGGGATTAAAAATCAATGATTAATTACGGCCATGCATTAGCAAAAACTTTCGCGCGTTTTCTCTTAATCTATGGTTCATCATATGACATAACTAGCCGTGTTGCCAATCCAAAAAAAATATAATGCCAAATATAAAATTGGTATTAACTAGTCGTTATGTGCCAATTTTGAGAGAATTTAATAAATTTATGTATTTAAGTATTATATTTAAGTTAGGTAACATTTATACATAAGTGAGACGTACAGTATTTACCCGAAATACTTTTAATATATCATTAAAATGACGTATCAGCAATATGTAAAGCATAAGTGATATATTATATCATGTAGATAAAATATATTGTAACATAATATACTAATATTATTGGACCACACGTACTTACTTAATATTTAATTACAGAAAAATTGTTACTTAGCATAATTATACCTATATATATAATGTCTAAAATACACCCATATAAAATACCTATTTGTGTAGTTCATAAATATTAGTAATGTAATATAATTATGGCGTATTTATAGTTCTGACTATCTGTACTCCATGTTGTCATTTGCCTATTAAACAAAAAACCAAAAATGACCGTAGTAAAAATTTCATAGCTAAAATGTTGCCAACTAAAATTCTAACAAAATACTAACCAATGCTAAGATATATACATAATGCTGCCTCCTATGAAAATTAAAAACAAATAAAATGGAATCCCAATTTTTGTGTAAAAAATAAGACTTTTTTTTTTGTTTAAACTCGTAATGATCCAGGGTCCACACTATTCCTTCCATCGCCACCAAAACTGATTTATCCTAAACAAAATATTTGTAGCCCTTTAAATGTAAGAAAAAAAAGTGTTTACATTAATGATTACTAATTGAACTTCGAACGTTTCTTAATTTTGGTTTACCAAATTGTTGAAATAAAAAAATAAAAAAGTAACTCCAATGAATCCTAGAACATAAAAATTGTGAAATGTCTTTGACACAAAAAAAATATCACCATTTTCTTTGACCTTTAACCAAGCCCGGTACATGTCTTTATACAGATGTCCGGTAATTAATGAATAACCTTGAAATAGGTAGGTACCTTTTAGTTTACCTCAAGACAATACAGAAAAAATACGAAAAAAAAAGTTGTGGTTCATTTATTTTTCCAACAATATTTAGACATCTTGGCTATGTAATAATGTAATGTATGTTCATGAATGTCGAAGGATCGCTTTCTATATCCTCGAGCACCAGTTCATCTACTTCAAGATATCATAACTTAAGGAACTACCTATGAATAGCGTATTTATTCTTTTTTTTTCGGACTAGCACACACTAAAATGATTTATCGATTCATTACCGGACTCTCTGTATATACTTCAGATTATAATACTGAGTTTTAATTAAATTCATCTGAATGTCCGTATATTCCTTAACAAAGATGGCAGCTGATTTGTAATATTTTCATTAAAATACTATAATAATTATTTTGTATAAATGAAATAAGTGTATAAAATGTACATTATAATAACCAATGCAAAAGCACTTATGGATTTGATGTTGTATTTTATATTGTAAGCGAATTATTATACATGTTTGTGTATTATCTGTAGTCTTTCTTGTATCCATAATGTTATAATAGTCATAAATAAAAAACAAATATTGAGGTGTTTGTAAAATTGCTATTCCTAAATTACAAATCGTCTGCAAGGAACCTGATAATCATAGTCAAAGTCAAAATCAAGATCATTTAGTCCGACTAGACTATAAATAAGTACTTTTGAAACGCCAAATAGAATAGTAGTCTTGTCTTGTCAAACTGTTCGTCAGTGAAGCTAGGTGCTCGTTCCAAATTTAGGATTCGAATTTTGAAACGTTAAAGTTCGCATTGGCAAAAGTATAAAAACAAATTGAATTTTGACTACCTTTGATGATCAATCATGAACAACATAAGTTTTATATATTCATAAGACTTTAGGGAAAAGAGCAAAGTTCCTTAAGATCGGAAAAGTCCGCTGATTTATTGACGTCGACCTTCTATGTGAGTTGCCACACGACAAATAACATAAAACCACATGTCTGTGTATCCCATTTTTTTTATTTACTAGCCTTAGCCTTTGACTTTGTTCGCTTGGAATGGTAAACACCTGCAGATTTTTGGTTTAAAAACTATCCTATGTCCTTTCTCGGGTTCCAAACTATGTCTGTACCAAATTTCACACTAATAGGTTCAGTAGTTAAGGCGTGAAGAAAAGACAGACAAACAGTCAGAGTTTGGATTTATGCGAAATTTGTGCACATAAAATTTTACACGCATACATATAAAGCATTCTCGAATGTCTACTTTTACTCCTAAGCGACTTAAAGCATTTGACTTGTGCACTCCAGTTCATAAGGAGAATATCACGTTAGCAATTTTACAATCACCCATTCATTCTCAATATTGTCCATCATAATCGTGAAGTCCCTTTTATAAAATATTGTTACTTACATAATGTGTAGGAATATCCCAAAACGCCATGACTGAAAACCGTACATAAATTGATTTGTTACTCCTATCAAATATCTTTACATCTTTTGGATTACGATTCAAAACAGTGCCTTTTTATTATTATAAAAAAAAATTGTATCGTAACACCTTATTAATATGTGCTATTTTTAATAATATTTAATAATTTGTGAAGTAAAAAATATTTAAAAAATCTACCTTAGTAGTTGTTGTATTCTCCCCTATATTTATATAAATGAATTTGTATTCATATGTAATTATATTCGTCTAGCGTACCTCGGATTCTATTTTCGAAGTATTAATGGGATTTTCGATTTTTGAAATTCTCAGTAATGGCATTAAAATCGACGATGTTTAGAAGTACGCTCGTCCTACTTTACCTGTTACTTATAACGTAACTTATAAAAATACTATTTCAAATAATATTTTTAAATAAGTATCCTGTATTATTATGTAATATGTGTTCGTAACAATAACATCTTTTCGAACAGCATTTAATACCAATTATCAATGTTTTATCAAAATGTGCGTCAAACGAACTCATCCCGAAACACAGCAGGTATGCTGATTAGTGTAAATAAAACTTTATTAGTATTATAATTATAGTGCATTTTGCAAAATGTATGAGCTTTCAGTATCTATTAGTGGGCCTAGACATGGTATATTGGACTGGTAAATTATTTTCCATTGTTAGTATGTACATCCACGAATATGAATGAGTTTACTGAGCGTTTTGGTGTTGTATAGATCCTGATTAATGACTGTTAAATACTTTAAAATATCATGAGAATCATACCATTCTTTATATTTGGAATATTAATTAAATTTTAAAGATCAACTTTGAAATATTTTTAATAGAAAATTTAATGCAGAAAATGTGCCTCTGAAGACTTTTTTTAATAAAAACTAAATCGAGAGACATACTATTTTTTTTAAATTGACGACTAACTCAGATGAATTAATTGAGAATAGCTCAACTAGTTTCAAGTTACAGCGGGACTCTTATTCATAAACAGCGGGCGAGTCGCGCATCTAACGTAGAGTATTCCACAGATAATTCGCAAAAGTCGATATTTTCAATAAATCTGAAAGCTTTATTCAGTTTACTAACTAAAAATCGCGGGTTACTCACGTGTATATATTAAGAAAAGCGGACGCGGCGACGTCGGGCCCGCGCACATTGCTCATGAGGAAAAACCCCTCTGTGGTTCGAAACTAGTAGAGCTTTTTTCAATATATACACGTGAGTAACCCGCGATTTTTAGTTAATTTAGTATGTCTCACGATAGTTATTATAAAAAAAGACTTTATACAGTTTTGTATCAAATATATCTCAAGTTGCTTGGTCATTATGATAATGATTATGGCCCGAATAATTTACCAGTGCATTTTATTGACAAGTGTAGGCCTTTAAGAATATTATCATTATTGTAACATACTGTAGCTAGTGTTTATTGTAAATAAAATGATTGACAATAAAATTTGATTACTTTAAGTTGTTCTGCGTAATTTCCTTGTTTCCTCATCCTACGCCATCCATACTATCTTGTTGGACTAATTAGTTATTTATTTGAAAATATCCAAAACCAATTACACTACTCAAATGTTAGGTAATCGGTACTGATATTACAAAAATGACAAATTTGTAAATTAGTATGTAGGGAATAATCTTTGGAATTGCCAAAATTCTTTCACTGATAGATAACTACAATGTTCCTGAGTACTATAAGTAGGCTATAATAGAGTGGAAGCTAGTATTCTTTATACAGGCACATAAGTATAAGAAAAGAAAAAATAATAGGTACTTAATAACAGTATAAGTACATATTATTGTTATATTCACACATCTCTTTCGTAAAACTTCAAGCATACCGACAAAAATAGGCTTCTTTAGCTCGAGAACAGACCACACTCTGGCTTTGCATCTAGGAACCTGTTCAAAAGTCTATCAAGTCAGAAACTCAGGATCAACTCCCGTATAAAAAAGTACTATTATTACTTTGTTGACTTATTAGGTGGTTAGGTTAGGTCAAGACTCTGATACGGAGAGCGATACTTCTGGAGACAGTGGGTATTGTCCGGAGATTCCTCTCCCTGGAGGCCTGATACCGGTGGCTTGGACCCCTCCATTTACCAGTCGGATATACTGTTTTTATATGTAAAAATGAGAAAATCAAGTTACATCGT